GAACATTTTTTTAAAATAAATGTGGAATTTTTATTTGCAAAGAGTCTTAGAAATGTAAGATGTTTTGGACATAATCTGAAGTCTGGAGACTCTTAATTCGATAAATGTGGTTGATGTTGAAAGAAAAACAACAAACTGCGTTCTACATAAAAAATAAACGACGAAAAGTATACGAAAGTAGAGTTGCATACACATGGTATTCTATTGGAAAAATTCGATGCACATTTAAAAATGTTGAACAACGTTTTCTAGCGTTTTTTTTTAATTGGCGAGCAATTCTTAATTGATGGGTTTTTTATATAGGCATATGAATAAAAATAATGTACATCCTCAACTGTCCTGTATTTATAGCAGAAGGTTTCTCCTGTATTAACACATCAAATGAAAGGTATTTATCCTATATTCAATGTCGTTTAATTTTTTTATAGAAATTGCTTAGAAATGAAACAAAGTCACGTATTTGTTGAAAAATTCTACTTTAAGAAATTGTTATCTAAATTTAAGATAAAAATTTTTTAGGTATAACTAACTGAAACCAACTTAATTGTATAAAATGTTCCTAATATTGACGAGATATTTCACGGTGTACAAAAAATTGTTTTATTTTTATGGGGTCATATTGGCGCAGACCTGCATGTTTATGAACATATGCAATGTTTCAGGGCAAAAAAATTCAGAGTATTCAAATCAAATGACCGACCAGAGCATTCCAACACTTTCTCTAAAGAAATGTGGGGAATCCAGTCCAGAATTATTTTAATTCAGTGATATTCACATAATTCAGGTTTATACGAGTGAAACATTTGTTTTTCAACATGTTTCTCAACGTAGATTTCTGAAGATTATTTATCACTGATTTATATTTGTTTCTCTACCAAAATCAATTTTTTTCAGTCTCTTTTCCTTTCGTTTCCACCAGTTCTTTGAGCTATTTCCGACTGAAGGAGTTATCAGAAAATTTATAATTAATTGTTTTTTGAGCTTCATGAAAATTATTGATGGCTGTCGTTGGGATCAAAACTGATCGCTTCGAATTTTTCTTTAACAGTCTGGCGCTGTCTAATTTGCGGTGAAATTCAAAGTGTATATCTAAGTAATTCTTACTTAGATATATATATAAATAATCTTTATTTCCTACAGAAAAACTCAATCGGTCTTTCTGCCCTTGTTTAGTATATATGTGTCTTAGCCTAGCTTATTCTAAAATTAATTCCTATTCCTAACACATTCCAACACTCGTATAAATTAATCAGCGATAAAAAAAAATAAAAAAAATTCAGATCTTAGTCGTTAGTTCAGTTGCGTTTGTAGGTGTTCTAGTAAAGTATCTGTTGGAGTACGAAAACGGGAGTGTTTTGTCTGTCAGACACATTTTATCAATACAAATCTTAATATACGAATATTGAAAGCAACAAAATTCAATTAGTTTCAAAGCATATTTTTGATAACATGTAATTTTTTATGAGCGGGTTTTTTGAGAAAGAAACCAAACAGTGCTAAAACTAAACGACTTTTGCAAATGATCCTCATTTTCAATTTTCCTGCCGACTTCTAGGCCATATTTTCATTAAATGGCAAGCGGCTCTAGCAGGAAAGTGTAAAGCTGAAGACAGCAATTTCATTAAATAGACCAAGGGAAAAACCCTGTTTTAAAAACATCGAAGTTTCAATTGCATCAATCCATGGATTAGATGTAACATGTAATAAATTACCTGCCTGCTGTTTTACAAAAGGTATTTTTAACAGCCCAGGGCCTATATTGGCTTTAGTCAAAACAGACGCCCGGCTTGCAATTTAATTTACATAGTTTATTTTTAGCATGTTACAATTTCCCTGAAGGTTAAGGGTTGGAGAACAAAAAAATGATCAAATTTTGAACGTTAAATAATTTTTAAATGTTTTCAAATGTTTTTATTTAATCCAAATAATATTGCAAAATGCCTTGAGCCCGGTAATCACACAGATTCAAAGCTTGAAATTAAAATAGCCGCAGTCTTTGCGTGCTACGTAAAGCATACGCGTAAACCATACGAGCACCGACATCCAAGAGTCGAGGGAGAGTTTCCACTTCTTTCCATTCCTTTATTTCAAACGTTCGAAATGTATTAAATTTGTCCGGTTAGTGAACGTGGAACGAAATTCTTTTGCTTGGATTTAGACCTCTATAAATTTCCCGGATACTTTTTACCCCAAGTTATACAGATATTTCAGTTTTTTAATGAGTTCTGGTTTTAATACGGACGTTTGAAATATTTTTCTAGTGAACAAAAAGAAACAAGTTATATTTTCATTTTTGTAAATTAATCTAAAATCGGGTAACTCTTCTTTTGGATGCATTTTTAAAGCTTAGACAACGGTTTCACCCATACTCAAAGGCGAAAATCTCGTGGAGCGAGATCCGGTAATCTCGGTAGTCGAGCGAACGAATCTAGCAATCGCCAAACCTTTGAAAACAGAATTTGAAAGTTGTGGAAGCGCGTTTTTGAATCATCAACTGATTATTTAGAAATTTAGAATGCATTGATGATTATTGGGACAATTTCTAAATTTATTTCAGCCAAACTATGCTCCGCCCGTGAATAAAATGCCTTTACAAAATTTTCACGACATTCAATTCAATTCATGGATAAAATTTCAATTTTAAACATAAATCTTCTCGGAGGAGTACAGTAAAAGATAATATCTATCAAATATTTTCATTTTCTCCTGAATCTCCGCGAATACATTGAAAATTGAAAATTGCTGCTTTCAATGAAGCTGCAAGTATTTTTTTTGGAATTGTTTCAGGTTAACACGCAAAGTGTATTTATGAGTAGTTTTGCAATAAGAAATGAATAAAACATTCAAGAATGTATTCTTTAAAAAGTGCAAAATCATTATTTTACACGAATTCAAAACTATCACCTGCATTTCGTTAAATAATATCCATATGTTGATGTTGATAATGTTGTTAATTGTACGTTTCACGTTTGTACGTTTCAAATTGAGTTATTTAGTTTTCTTTTTGTTTGCACAATAAATTAGCATACAGATGATACAGATGGCAGTATCAAGTCCAGAGAATTATTAATTACGATTGTTGTGAAAGACAATTTATCAAGCATGGGCTTTAACAATTCTAATACAGAACACAATACATGTACATTTCGGTTTCTGTGAAAACCATTGAAATCCACAACCCTAGTTAGTCTGTCATGAGGCTTCAACTTGATCTACACATCATTTTTCAGTCTCAAAATAAAAAAATCATTTGAAAGGATAATTAATTTCCATCATTGATAAACGATGACATGCTTGCGTAATTATTTAAAATTGCTTCTAAAAAAAGTGTAGATGAAGTGACTTGCAGAAGAGAAAATATTATTTATATATTAGCTTTTTGGATACGCGAACTCTTTGGATAAAAATTGTCTGAAAGCATTCAACTAAATCGATCCAGAACGTTTTTCAAATACACAGGCGAACCCTTGGCCATCAAGATCATCGGATCTTATTTCTATAGATTTTTGTCATTTTTTCTAGTTCACATTCTTAATACTGCAGCGTCTTTTGCTTACTTTAAGGTTTTGCACACATTCTTGAAATATTTCAATTTTCTCCTGAATCACCTTACATACAGCTTAACGGTAAAATCTAATTGAGTGCAAATTCAAAATTTACGAACGGCAACAATCTATAATTTGTCCCTCATTAAATATCCGCCTTGTATAGCAGGATCGTTTCACACAATCTTATCAGAAGAAAACTAGCACCACAATATATCATTATCTGAGCAAATAGCGTTTCAACTTCCTCCGAATTGTCTGAAAGTGCTGGCATAAAATTTAATATACTGTTTTCCCGACACGGTTTGGCTCTTTCAGATAAATTACTATTGCGATCTAAATATGAGCAAAGATTATGTAGAATTGTATAATGATTAATGAGGTCTTGGTTGACAACTGCTAAACCTCCAGCAGGTGTTTAGCGTGCGATCGAAGTATTAGATGATTAATCGTTAAGGCAAAATCCGTTTAATTTCTAATTTATTGCATACTTACTCAAGAGCTTCAATATTATTAGAAACCAGAAGCTGACAGCGAACAACATTTTCTCTAGCATTAATTGATTTATTGTCACGTATTATTTTAATAAAAACACTTTTACTTTTTCCGTGTTAGATTTTTTCTAGTTAGATTGTAATAAAGTTTGAGGTCAAATTTATTATTTTCGATCATATGATAATAATTTAATTCAAACAAGAAAAATATTAAATTATATTAAACATTCTCTCTCTATCACGTACAACATAAATAATTAAATATTTGCTTGATAATTTTAATAGACCAATAATATTCATCTTTCATCAATTAAGCGAGGCTTGTGGTGCACAGTATAACAATACAATTTAAAAAAAAAGGGTCAGAAAGCACTCTTAGAAAACTATCGTGGAATAACCCTACTTGATAGCGCTCTTAAAGCATTCACAAAGACTATTCTGGGGGAAATCACCAAAACCATAAAAATAAGAGAAGAACGACACGAAGGCATCCGAAAAAAAAACAGATCCACAATAGATGCAATATTCATAGTCAAGCAAATATCTGAAAAATCCCTAGAATTTATTAAACCGGAATACATGTGTTTTATCGATATGACTAAAGATTTTGATAGAGGGCGCTTAAAATATGTCCTGGAATTAATGAGACTAAACGGGCTAAACCACAGACTGCTTAATGTAATACACGACGTAAACACCCAATACAGAACAAAAATCGTAGTAGGACACATAGGAACGGAAGACATAAACGTAAACACAGGAATTGGGAACTTGAACATTTTTTTTATTTCTTTAATATAGTTGCCTATCTATAGAAATCGCGCATACCAAATATCAGCCCTCAAACCACAATATTTAAATTGCAATAAACAATTAAAGTTGTGGCCGCAGGCTATTCATTCATATGAAACGACACGCAACGCGCGGGAATGGTTGTGACGTCACGGCGCTGGTCGTTCGATTGAAAGGCAATACGAAAACGGCTTGTTGTTGAATTGTCTGGGTGTTTTACTGTTCAGAGTTCGTGCTGTGCTTTATTAATAATAGAAGCAACACAAAAACAATATTAAAAATGCTGTGAAACGTCAGATAACGTATTTATTCTTGTGCCATGAGATAAAGGCCGACGTTTAAAATAGTTAAAGGTATACCGAAGAGCTCACAAAGATATTTCTGAGAAGACTATTGCCCATGTGTGTGAAGATCATTTTAATGTAAGTATAAAAACAGATTTGAGTTTGTCTATTATATAACAGATAGATATTTAGAATTTGTCTTTTGTTTGCTTCTCGGCAGCATTATAGTAAATAGTAATAGTAAATAATCACCTCAAAAATAGTTAATTGCTTTATTATATTATATGACCACTTTTTTTTTTCGGTGAGGTTTGGGAAATGCTTTTTTATGCACTCCCAGAGCTGGTGGTCTGTCGCTCTGGTTTGTGTGGGACTCCAGCTAAGCTGTTTACCCACTAAAACCCTTTCCTCACCGCCGA